CCCCAAAACCCCAAAACCCCAAAACCCCAAAACCCCATGATGATAATTTGTTTAATAAAATTGAATAGTTGTAAATTATAAGTCATTATTAATATATCTAATGATTTAACTATTAGATAAATAAATTACATCTTTCTTAATAAAAATATTAAAAATCATTATAAGCTAGAAACAGGAATTGGGAGTTGATCATGCCTTTCCTAAACTATTTAACTCAATCACACTATTCAAATATTCATTAGGCTTTAATAGCTACAATACTCTACCAGTGATAGACTTGTGACCTTCCATTCAATTTTTCTTGCTAATTCCCGAAGATGATTTTAATTTCTCGTGAACCAAGTTCTAGAGTGTTTTTATAAAGTTCCCCATTTCTTTCCATTACTTGAGCCTACTTGATGCATTTTTATGGAAATATTTTCTGTTTTAATTTTCTCAAAATCTTCTTTGTGGCTTAAGTCGGATCTTGTAGCAGAGCTGATAGTTAAAACCCAAAGGTAGTAGCCAACATTAACGGAGAAGGATTCTTCATTAAACTCATTTTAAACCATACTGCTAACATGCTCTACCCAGGTAACTATAAATTCATCTGATTTCGTATCACTTATCTCAAGACAGTATTTGAGGAGGTGATGTTTATGAAGAAGTTTAAACATATCTTATACTTCTTTGGTCCTCCATAGAATAACCATATCGTCCGCGTATATTAACAATCTATCGATCAGATCTATTTAGTGTCATATTTCGAATGTTCTCAGTGCGGTATCTGCTACTAGTGTGTAGAATGAAGGAGATCTTTCCCACCTTTTCTATACCCTCTAGATATGGAGATATATTGAGACCTTAGTATTTAACCTTTTAAGATTAAAGTATATTGGAAGCTATACTAGCCATTTTTATCGAATTCATCAACTACTTTTTTTGTTCTTTTATGGTTTAGTATTAAATAGATAGTTTATTTCTAATGAAGTAGCCTGCAAGAGGTCATTTTCTTCTTTATTGTCAATAGTGATTTTATCCTCCTTCCAATTGAATCTCGTCAAAGTAGTTTAGATCCTCTGAATCATCACGCTATTCATTCAATATCCGATTAACCATTTTCTATATAATATTCAAGGTTATTTCATAATATATAATAATTGCTATTAAATTTATTTATGATCATTAAACAATTTAGACTTGATGGGGTTTTGGGGTTTTGGGGTTTTGGGGTTTTGGGG